AGCCCCATACCGTTAAAACATAAGGAAACGGAAGATAAAGGAGGCCATTGACATTTTTGTGGAAAGAAATTTAATGAAAATGATATCAAAAGAGGGCAGAGTTAATAAAAACTTTACGCATTGCTTAAGCAAACTCGGATAAAACAAGGAGATAACTATCCAAAAAAATAAAGACGCCTGGATCAAAGACCTATCGTTAACCAGAGGAAAAGGGACCGCAAGATAAAAGTGGGTGGGGAAAATTCGGAAATCCTGAGAAGGCATTTGAGTGGGTGTAGCCTGCTTAACAAAATAACCACAACTTTAAGGGCCTGGCAGTCAAAGGAATATGGAGACGGAAGGTCACAATCGTCACAGAAATGAGGCATTATGGATTGTAGATCGGAGCCAAATTGACTAGAAATCTTCTCTAGATGCAGCAGGTCAGAGATAGACTTTCACAGTTTGCTCAGGTTAAACGGGCTGCATCATAAAGATGGACCTTAGAGACCATTCCTGATATCTGCAAGCTTCAAAAGCATAGACCAGTCATTAGGCTCGGTGAGGCAAAAGTATACTTGTCAAGAAAGGCTTGGGGCAGGCTATGGGAAGTAACGTCTTGAGCAAAACGTATTCTGTGACTTGAACCGAGTGAATCAGTCAACCAGTGAGTTAAGAAACGGATCTCCCGGACCAATACAATTTGAATAGGTCCAAGTCGGGTCAGCAATTCCGCCAACTTGATAGGGAAGGGGGACGAAATTAATAAGCAGGAGTGATAACGCCCTACTAAACTCGCCAGAAAGTGAGTAGTCGAATACAAACAAGTCAAAATATGGTATAGGGAGTGAGATACGAGGATAAGACATAAATAGATGTACCAGAAAAGAGGGAGTAGTGATAACACGACCGTTAGACAGAATAGGTTGACTTCACTTGCCCCTTTGCTGAGACTGGCAAGACTCACTGGCAATGGCGACTATGATGCTGGCGAGACGTCTGTCAATGTGCCAAGTCCACTGTCGGATGTTAGTACGTATTATAGCTACTATTTTTCGTATGCAAGTGGAGTTTCGAGACTACCAGTAAATCATGAAGTAGTCGATTGTTATAGCAAAAATACGTTTGCTTCATCGACAATCCCACCAAAGCATGTGATATGGTAAAAGGATAATAACAACTTTTAGGAAAGCAAGGCTATGTGAAATTCAATGGAAACGTCAGCTCTACTTATATCATTGTGGTAAAATTCTACTACCAGTCCTTCATCTCCTCAAACTAAATGGGATGAATAATTCTTATATAGCTACTATAGCAGATGATTTTAGGCAAGATTTGTTCAACTAGGCCGCCCTGACCATATGACTAAGTTGAGAAAACGAGGTCAGGCCACTTTTATAAAGGAATAATTATTAACATAAAAAGATTTTTCAGACAATTCTGCACTATAAAATATTTTCATTTCTAATAAAATGTTTAGTAAGTTTAGCCTATGATGTAGTGTCTGTTACCATTCTTCACGTATTGTCGAGCTAGCGCCTTTGTGAGAAAGCTAACCTACAATATTAATGCATTTCATATGACCACGAAAGCCCAGCCCATATTAGCAAGCAGAAAATCGATCTTGTGTATTCTGGTGAGAGCTCTGTATAATACTTTTCACCAAGCACTTTCGAATTAAAATAAAGCAGACATACTCATGTAATCAAGGGATATTTATGGAAACCCAGATAATTTTCAGACATATTACATTACTTAAACATGATGGAGCCGAGATTTATTTGTACAATCGTTCTTATTGGTTTCATAGTTAACGCTTAATAGATTTTCATTTCATTGTCGTAAAATTAATATTTAATTCTTACGCGAAGATTGAAGAGCTCACACCAGAATTAGCTCTGATAGCTATCAGAGTTTAGGCAAATCGGATTTATTTCAGATTGTATATAATTAACAAAGTATTATAAAATTTTATAATTGATGCTACAAATGGTTACATTGATCTTCAGAGGTATGTCAAGTGACCATACTTTATAAGTAAGAATTAACACAGCCTTGTGATTTAAATATATTAATTAGTATAACTTTGTCCAACAGTAACTACCTTGGAAGCAGAAAGGCATAAATCAGAAAGAATTAGATTTTGTGCACCGAAAAAAAAAGCATGAACCCGAACAACATTCGGAATTACGTAGGCAAAAACTATTAACTGGGATACAGCTCACACAAGTGCCAGAAAGAAATGATCTGATATGGCAGACAGAAGAGCCACAGCAGCGCTGGCCAAATGGTAACTTCCGACAAAACACATTCAGATTTTTGCAAGGCATATTGCCTTCAATCCAAAAAACCGGCTGCATGAGGGAATTGCTCCTGTCACCTAATAAAAAATAGATAGAAAAAACTAAATTAAGAGAACTATGGGCAAAATAAGTTAGAAAGAATAAAGATGAATTAAAGAAAACAACAATAATATGTATTA